TCCATGCTTGGAAGGAAGGAAGGAAGGAAGGAAGGAAGGAAGGGAGGGAGGGAGGGAGGGAGGGAGGGAGGGAGGGAGGAAGGAAGGAAGGAAGGAAGGAAGGAAGGAAGGAAGGAAGAAAAAGAGAAAGAAAGAAAGAAAAAGAGAAAGAACTTTCATCTGCATCTTTAAGCCCGCCCACTTGGGACATGGTCAAAGCAAGTCGCCCACCCCCAACCCCAGCCTCAGCTCCCAGGCGCCCCGCCACCCAGAGGCACCCACTGGTAGCGTCTCTCAAGTGTCCTGTTCCCCCTTCAAGCTCCAAGGACACCCCTCCCTCCTCACCTCCCATAGGCCAAGAGCAGTCCCACCGCAGGGCCTTTTCACGGGCTGTGCCCTCTGTTCTGGATCCTGCACGGCTCCCTCCCTCATTGCTCAAGTTCCAGAAGGACGGCCCTGGCCTCCCTACCCCTGTACACAGTCTTCCTTTCCTGATTTATTTTTTCTCAGAGCTCTCACCACCTTCTAATACATTGTATAATATTTTCATGTAGTTTTCCTTATGCACCCCTCCCCGCTCTAGAATGTCAGCTCCACAGGGACAGAAAGTTTGCTTATCTGGGCCACGGCCGAATTCCCTGCACCGGGCGTGGTATCTTGCACACAGTGGGTGCACCCCTGCGTTAGTGCTCACCTTTCTGGAGTAGCCGCGCACGGAGAAGCACGTATACGCACCTTTGCTCTGCCTCCCAGACAAGCATGTGTAGGCATAGTTATGCTGCCTCCTTTTTTTAAAGTTTTTTTGCACAAAAGGTACCTCGTTACATACCCGCATCTGCATCAGCTTCTGTGCAAACAATGTATCTTGGAGCTTCACCCCCATCGGAACGTACAGTCTGTTCTCATGCTTGTCCCTAACCGCCCGACTGCTCCATTGGACAGATGCCCGGGAGCAGCCCCACTGACGCCCACGCGGGAGGGCGACCCCAGCCTCTGGCCGCCAGGAGCAAAGCTGCAGGTTCCACGGTCCTCGCTGGACGCTGCTTCCCCTTGGTGTTACACTTCTCTTGTCCCGTCCGGCTGGCGCCTGAGAGCAGCGACTCAAGCAAGTGCCCAGGGGCAGGGCGCATGCTCCAGAAATGCAGCCCCGGGAGACGCTGGTCTTCAGAGGTGATCAGGCCTATCAGACCGGGGCTCGATCGAGTTCTCTGCTTCCTTCTCTCTGAAACGCACGTGGTGTCGCAAATAAAGGTGCAGACATCAGAGGAGGCCAGGTGAGATGGCAGTTCCTGGTGGCTGGGGCGGGGGCGGGGGGGGGAGCTCTGAGTGCCATCCTCAGTGATGCTTTTGCAGGACTGTGAGGTTGCAAGGGGCCTCTGGACTCCTTTATTCTGGAAAGATGGGGATCTGGGGGAGACCGTGACCCTTCAAAATCCTCTGTGTTCTGAAATGTAACTTTTCTTTGAACACCAGGGTGTTTTTCTTACCCCTTAGAGGGATGTTAGGCCTGATGCGGCTTCATATTTGGAGGGTTAACTCCCCCACTGGATGCCCGGTCCTGAGGGGTGGGCTTGACCTCCTTCTCTGGGCTCCCCTTCAGCGCCGGGCCCTCCGTAGGCGCCCATTCACTATGTGTTAAATGAACAAAGCTATGATGCATTTATTGAAAGCAGGTTTTTGCTTCTCTTGCCTATGCTTTAAAAAATTTAAAAAAATGTTTTATTTATTTCTGAGAGAGAGAGAGAGAGAGAGACAGCGTGAGCAGGGGAGGGGCAGAGAGAGAGGGAGACACAGAATCCGAAACAGGCTCCAGGCTCTGAGCTACCTGTGAGCACAGAGCCCGACGCGGGGCTCGAAACCACAAACCGTGAGATCGTGACCTGAGCTGAAGTCGGACGCCCAACCGACTGAGCCACCCAGGCGCCCCTAAAACATTTAAAAATCCTTATTTATTTATTTGGAGAGAGAGGCGGAGAGAGAGAGTGGGGGGAGGGGGAGGGGCAGAGGGAGAGGGAGAGACAGGACCCCAAGCAGGCTCCGAGCTCCGAACTGTGAGATCATGATCTGAGCTGAAACCAGGAGTCGGACGCTTAACCGACTGAGCCCCCCAGGCGCCCCCTAACCCTGCGGTAAAGCATGTCCGCAGTCTGAAAGGCACATGTAAGATTTCCCACGTGCACAGGGCTCTGCTGTGAACGCAAGGCTTGCCTGGGGGGTGTTCACCCAGGTGCCACTGATAAAAGGCCCAGAGAGCGAGGGCTTTCCTGTGCAAGTGCTCTGCTGGCCAGTCCAGGGTGGGGGGTGGCTGGGGTCAAGGGGGCTCAGAGCATCATGCCCCCAGCCTGGGTTCTTCTCCAGGCCGGCCCAGGGAGGCATTCTGGGGGGGGTGGTCAGGATCCCCCCACCTATGTAGAGGTTGAGACAATGGAGGGAGGGAGAGGCTCGGCTCTGAAATATGCCAGAGGGACAGACAAGTGCCAGAGAGCGGGGTGCAGGGGCCACCCATGGCAACGTGGATCCAGATCTGTGAGGCCAAGCCTGACCCTCCCCGCCCCTCAGGTTGCACACATTCATTATTCACTTGCTCACTCACTGTCAACACGTTAACTGCTGTCGACTGTGTGCTGGTGACAGAGCAGTGGGTTAGACAGATGAGGTCTCTGCTCTCATGGAGCTGACATTCTGGTGACAAAAGACAATATATAAGTGACAAATGCCCAGGATAATTTTAGGTGGTGATAAACGGTGAAGACAGTGTAGAGGGTGATGGGTGAGCTAGTGCCTTGGGAGTTTCCACAGAGGACTAGGGAGAACCTCTCTAAGCAAGTGACATTGAGCTGGGACCAGAAGATAGAAGATGGCGCTCTCAGGCAGAGGGAACAGCCAATGCAAAGGCCCTGAGGCAGGAATGAGTCTGACCAGTTTGCCAGTTCTTTAGGAGGGATAGGTTGAAGGATTCGAAGGAGAGGGGGAACAGAGCCGAAAGGCAGAATTTGGCCCTTGGATGACAAAGCCCCCTGGATGTATGCGACATCTCACCCTGTTCCCGTCTGGCCAGGACCCATGGACTACATGCTCCCCAATGTCCTTGGGCGGCATTGGTCTGGAGACCTGACCTTTGGGTCTCTCCCAGGCTCTCCGTGAGGGGTTTCCAAGTAACCCTGGGACATTACCAGGCTGACCGTCCCCTGCCTGCCCGACCCCCTCCTATGCTCACACCCTCAGCCGAAGGCCTGGGGAGGCAGAAGCCCCACGGGGAGGAGCGACCCCTGGGGAGACCCCAGACCCTCCTCCTTGCTGCTGTATCCCAGAGCAGATCTCATTGAAATGCAAGTCTCTGAGCATTCTCAGGTGACACTGGGGGTGGGAGGGTGGCTGAGGAGGGCTTCCCGGTTCCCTCCCTGCCCTCCCTTCCCCGGGCCCCTCGGGAGGGCCAGGCCTTCCTTCTGCAGGTCTGGCTTTTTGCCTGTGGATTCCCACGGTCTGGCAGGAGCTGGTGGGGCCTGGACGCCAGGGAGGGGCCGCGGAACCACGGGCCCCTCTTGTTCCAAACTCCCAAGGGCTCCTCTCCCCTCCGCTGGCACTTCCCTTCTTTCCCCGATTTTGTCAGCCCCAGGTCAGGCCCCCCCCACGCCCCGCCCCGAATAAAAGGAAAACTAGCAGCCGGAGGGGCAGAGAAGGACACGTTGCCACCGGGGAGGCGGGCACCCCCTGCCTGCCGGCGGGAGGCGCACGCACCGCCCGGGAAACCGCGCGCCGCAGCCGCCCCCCACTCCCCCGGGGGCTTCTCAGATGTTGGCAGATGGCAGAACTGAATCTGCTAAGACGTCGCTCCAAAAAAGGAAAGCTGAACTGAAAACAAAAATTCAAACTCTCCAGCCTCTTAGGGGAAAGGAGAGGAGGAGGGGGGCTCCAGGCCTGGGGCTCCCAGTGCCCTCTGCTGTTTAGAAAGATCTGCCCCAGCTCAGGAGGGCCACCTGGGAGGGGCGGACGGGGCACACTCGTCAGCGCAGCCCGCGGACGGGGGGGGGGGGGGGCGTCTGGTTGGAGCGGTGAGCGACTGCGAGTGTCCACGTGTGTGCTTGTCTGTGACCCCAAACACGCGTGTGCGGTCTGGGCTTGTGAGGACTGTGTGCCCCTGGCCGTGTGTGCATCCGACCACAGTCTTGCAGCACCAAGTGTGCGCATTTGTGTCCTCGGATGTCCCCAAGTGGGCGTCCACTCAACAACACGTTATTGAGTCCCTACTGTGTGAAAAGGCGGCGTATAAACAGCCAGAAATCCCGACCCTCATGGACTGGCCGTTCTGGGGTGTGTGGCTGCCCGGCCACAGAACTTGTGTATGTGTCCCGTGTTTATCTGCGGGTCTCCGGCCCAGGCCACGCGCACGTGTGCGGGCCGTGGTGAGTCTCCCTGGGCCCCCAGGGGTCTGCGGGTGAGGGTTCGGCTCCCTACTGTGTGCTGCAGCCCCCAGAGTGTGCTCCCCCACGCGGGTCCCTGCGCATCTGTGTGGGGCCCTCCCTGCACCCACCCCCCATCCACCGGCCACTCTTGAGTTATAATTTAATAGCTGAAACGCAGATTCCAGTTAAGTGTCTGGGGCTGGGGTGGAGAAGGATGGCGCGAAGCCCCGCAGGAGAAGGAGGAGGGGGCGGGATGGGGAGGCGCTTCCCCCCTTCCTCCTTCGGGGAGCTGCTAAAAAGAAACGGCGTCGCGCCCAAGTGTAAGGGTGTGTGTGTGTGCGCGCGCGCGTAAGTGTGGCAGCGAGCGCGCGCGCGAGTGGGTGCGCTCAGGGCCGCGGGAGGCGACGCGGGCCCTTTAAGGAGCCCGAGGGGGCCGGGCCGGGGCGCGTCGGTGCGGGCGGGGAGCCGGGAGCGGGGAGGCCGAGCCACCGCCTCCCGGGCTCCCGCCCCGCCCCCTCCTCCCCCTCCCGCCGCCGCCGCCGCCGCCGCCGCCGCCACCGCTACCGCCGCCGCCGCCGCCGCCGCCGCCGCCGCCGCCGCCGGGGAGCGGAGCCGCGGGCAGGCCGGGCCGCACCGGAGCCCCGCGTCCGCCCGCGCCCCGCCCGAGCCGTGCGCCCGCGCCGTGCGCCCCGCGATGCGCTCCAAGTTGCGGGCCGGGGACCCTGGGCAGGCGCCCTAGGAGGCGGCGGCGGGAGGATCGCGCCCCGGCTGGAGGCCGGGCCTGCTGCGCGCCCCCAGCCCGTTCGGCACCGCCACTTGCCTGAGCGCCCGGGCGGCCCGAGCGCGCCCCGGGCCCGGGCGCCGCCGCCGCCACCTCAGCGAGGTGAGTTGGGGCCGGGGGTCCCCGCGGAGGGCCGGGGGGAGGCGCGGGTCGCGCTTCCGGGGGATCAGGGGAAGATCGGGCGGCGCACGCGGCGGAGTTGGCGGGGCCCCGGCACTCCTGAGTTGGCGCTCTCGGGGGGTGGCCTGCCGGGGAGAGAGGCGCCCCATAGACACTGCGGCCCGCGTGCGTGGGGGCGCTGGGGAACTTAGGGGAACTCCAGCCACCCTGCGAGGGGGCGGGAAGGAGGGAAGTGGCGTGGGGGTGGACGCCCTGCCAATGCGCAGGGCAGCCCCCCACCGTGCGCCCCAGCCCTGTGGGCATGGCCGCCATGCGCCTCCCTCCTCCCCAAGTAGCCCCAGGCTTGGGGGTGACACTGCGTCTTATTTTCCGGCAGGCAGCGCGGGTTTGGGGAGCCCCTGGAGAAGGCACCCTGTGCTCCCCGGCCTGGTCGCTGTGGAAGGGCGCATGGCGGGTTCCCGCCAGCTGGGGGCGGGGGCTGGCGGGGGTCGCTCCCGAGCCGGCGAGCCGAGGGCACCGGGTGGGGGGTCCCCCCGGGAGAGGCGCCCCTTGGGCTCCCCTCCCCCGCGGGCCGGTGTTCCTGCTGTCTGGGCCTGCCTCCCGCGGCCGGTGACGCCTCATTGGGCCGCCTCCTGGTCCCTCCCCCGGGCGGTGCGGATACTTGGGATGCCACTAGTTTGGGAAGTTGGAATTCAGAGCTGATCCCACTTGGGCTGGACCCGGAGGCCCCAGGCCCTAGTGCTGGGGGTGCATCCCCGGAGATGTGCAGGGCGGGGAGGGGGGGTACTCGTGGGGCGCGCCTTCCTCACCCGGGGCGCTTGCAGGAAAAAGCCCGAGGGAGGGAGAGCGCAAGGCGGGCGGGAGGGAGGGAGAGACGCGCTGTACCTGTGAGCTGCGGTCGCCCGGGCCCAATTAGCGTGGGGCGCCCGGCGTTATTTTTACATTGTAGCTTTATTTTTTTGGAAGCTAGTGACCTCCGCCGCCTGTCGCGCGCTCCGGCTCTCCAAGGGTCTGTTGCAGGCAGCGGAGGCGGATCTGTTCTGTCGGCTCAGCCTCCTCCCTTCCTCCCCCTCCTCCCCCCCCCTCCGTTGGTGAGAACTGGTTTTATTATGATTATTTTTTTTTTTTCCCTTTTGCAGATTTGGAGGAAGGATGTGTGAGGGAGGGCGGGGGAAGGGGAGAGGATCCCTGTGGGCTGGATGGGGGAGTTCTGGGCGCGTTAGGATGTGTTATCGGTGGCCTTGACTTTGCCCTTTTTTAAAGCAGATCTGGGTCCTCGCGGCTGCTTTGATATAAGGGGCTCTCAGGGCCAGGCAGGAGCTGGGAGGGCGTCCGAGGGCATTGTTGTGGGCCTCGTCGTGGGTGGTCTGGTGGTTTTTTTTTTTTTTTTTTTTTGATGGGTTGGGGGAAAGCAGTTCTAGAAAGGAAGAGATGCGAGTCTTTCCTTGCCGATTCTGCAACTCAACTCCTTGGGTTCGAATCTTTCTTTTGTCACTTTACTGGTAGCACAACCCTGGACAAATTACTTAACCTCTCCGGGCCTCAGGCTTCTCATCTGCGAAGTGGGGTAGTAATAGTACCAAGCTCCTGGAGTGGTTGTGGGAACTGAGAGAGGTAATACGAAGAAGGTATTTGTGTGTATTTACTATGAGCAGTGTTTTGTTCTGTCTTGTTCTTTGTTATTATTATTATTATTGCCAGGTTCTGAAACTTGGCCTTTCATCCAAGGGTCTGGAAATCATGAGAGACAGCCGACTAGCCTTTTGCTGGGGAGTGGGGGATCTGGTGGAGGGATGGCGCCTTCTTTCCACCCCCTCCCTCCGTTTTTCCCCCGGTGCGGATGGAGAAGGGCAGGTGGTACCTTCAACCCATTGAGCGGATGCTCAGACCCCGCCGGCCTCGGGGCGTGCAGGTCCTGGGCAGGCGCAGAGCCCGAGGGCGACCCGGGCGCTGTCTGGCTTCCCTGTCCGCCTTGTCCCTGCTTGGAAATTTACCGCCGCCGCCGCTGGGTGCCCGGGGAGTCTGCGGTGCCCAGACGTGGGGGCGGAAGCGATCGGGGCCCCAGTCCTGGCCTCTTCCCACTGAGCTATTTATGCTTGCTCCGGGATCAATACTATTGATAAATCCATGTAAATGGTAATGTGGCTGTCAGGTCCCCGTGAGGGATGGAGACCCTTCGTGGTGGCTGCGCCCCCCCCTTTCCTGGGCGAGGGTTTGGCTAAGCGGGAAGGATTTATTTGGCAGAAGCCGTTCTTTTCTCCCAATTAATAATACTCATACCACCTCCTAAAGATTTTTGAGAGCTCTGCAAACACGGATTTAGCTGCATGAAAGCCCAGAGCCGGGGAGGGCGGGATTGTTCTCCAGCCTCGGGGTGTGGGGTTGGCCAGGCTGGGACTCACCGGCCGCTCGAGGAAAGCCGCCCCGGGAGTCCTGCCCCCCCCCCCCCCCCCCCCCCCCCCCCCCCCCCCCCCCCGCCATGCCTTGCCATTCAGGCACATGTTCTGCGTTCTGTGTTCCAGCCCCACCCAGGCCCCATGGGTGAGGATGGTGGTTCACTCAGATTTGGGGGGGGGTCCGCCTACGTGTAACCCAGCCTCAGGGGCTCCTGTCTCTGAAGCAGAAGTGCTGCAGGCAGGGGAGCTGGGGTCTCTCCTTGTCCAGCCCTTCAGTGGAACCCCCCCCCCCCGCATGGCCCACGCTGCCTCTGACAAGAGAGGGTTGAGAGCTTTTATTTGTGTGTCTGTTTTTCCCTCCTCTGTTTCCTTTTCATGTCTCAGCGGCCAGGTGACCCCTCTGAAGGGAACAGCTTGCAGGAGTTGGTCATTCCTGCCCCAGGCGCCCAGGGGAAAGGGCCAGGCTGTCATCTTCGAAGGCCCTGACCCGTGTGTGTGTGTATGTGTGTGTGTGTGTGTGTGTGTGTGTGTGTGTGTGTGTGTGTGGTCCCCAGGGACGCCTGCAATGCTTAGGAAAGGCCAGCTGACAGCCTTTGAGGATCCCTGGGGGCCGGGAAGGGATTTTATCCCGAGAGTGGGTTCCTGCTCTTGGACCTGGAGACTGTGTTTTAATGCAGTAACAATGGCAGCCAACAATTAGTATAAAGCACCCACTGTGTGCTGGGCTCTGCCCTCCACAAGAGTTACCGCCCTGTGAGGTCAGTGCTGGCATTATCCCATTTTACAGATGGTGCAGTTGAGGCACAGAGAGGTTCAGCCACTTGCCCGAGGTCACATGCTTTTGGATGTGGAACCAAGATTTAAGGCCTGGGATTGATTACTCAGGCTTCATGCAAGAGCTTGCTGTCACCCTGCTCTGTGGAGCTGGTGGCTCCGTAGCAAGAAAGAAATTATGTTTCTTATTGGAGCGGCACCTATGGATCTTTGGGGGGGGGGGCAGGAGACTGTTCTCCCCAAGATTTGGGGAAGGGGGAGTGCCTGGGGCAGGCCTGGCATTTCTTTGAAGTCTCATTTTATCTTAAACATTCATGCAAATTTGGCATTCGCTTTGGCGGCTGTGTTTATTTTGAAATGAAAACATGGTTTTGAATTATTTAGCAGGGCGGATAACGGGGGCTTCAGAAAGTGGCATCGGAGGAGGAGGAGGAGGAGGAGGAGGAGGAGGAGGAGGCGGCGTGCCGTGGCCTGGAGTGCCGTGGCCTGGAGTGCCGTGGCCTGGAGTGTCCATGCTGAGGTCTTCTTGTAGCCCGAGGCTTTGAGAGGTCCCGGAGAGGAAGGCAATGTTTTCCCATTTTACAGATGAAGGCGCAGGTCGGAGGGGCCCGGCCAGCCCAAGGTCACACAGGTGTGTGACTTTTGCTTACAGTGATCACAGTCCCCGTTATTCACCCGGCTGGGCTCAGGCAAGCCCTTGGAGGGAGGCTCTTAGGTTTCCTAGATCCGAAAAGAATCCTCTTAAACACGAGCGCCTGGGTGGCTCAGTCGGTTGAGCGTCCAACTTTGGCCCAGGTCACAATCTCACGATTCGTGGGTTCGAGCCCCGCGTCCGGCTCTGTGCTGACTGCCAGCTCAGATATAAATTCTGTGTCTCCCTCTCTCTCTGACCCTCCCCTGCTCATGCTGTCTCTCTCTCTCTCTCTCTCTCTCTCAGAAATAAATAAAACATTAAAAAAAAAAAGAATCCTCTTAAACAGTAGAGGACAGGCTGGGAGTGTTTTGTCCTGGGTGCCCCGGTGCGGGGGAGTTCAGATCCCGACTTAGGCCTGTGTACAAGCAGTGTGCCCAGGGGCCAGTCCTGGCCTCTCAGAGTCTGGGTGCTCTGGTCTGTAAAATGGGCACGTCAGTCAGCACTGGTTGGGGCAGCGGAGAGGATTGAGGGGCAGAAAGTGTGAGTGTCGGGCTTGCTGTTTGGCTCTGCAGCTTTTCACTGCCTGACTCCGGGCAAGTCAATGATCTTCTCTGAGCCTCAGTTTGCTCATCTGTGAGATGGGGATGATGATAATGATGATGGTGATGGTGGCGGTGCTACTCCTGACTCTTGCTGTGAGGACCCGACGTGTGTCACAAGAGCTCTTACTGCTTTGGCTCACCCCGCTGGAGCGTGAATACTTCCCTGTGGAGTTTATTGTGGAACCCAGGTCGTCACTGAGGGGCTGGTTGGACGTGTCTCCCCCAAAGGGCTGCTGGGAAGGATGCTCTAATGGAACGCGGTCTCCGGTCTCTCTCCACGGGCGCCCGGAGCCTGGCCTTCCAGAGACTCCTGTTGGCTGGTTGGTGTGATTGACAGATGCCCCCTCCCCCTGCCCCAAGGCTGGGGTTTTCCACTCCCTGTAATCACCCTGTGCCAGGGTGGTTTTGGAGGGCTTGGGCAGCCTGTAGAGTCGGGGGAGGGGAGGGCTGGCACAGGAGATGGGGGGCGTCTCCTTGGGGAGGACTGGGCTCTCTCTTCCTCTTCCCCAGGGGGCAGGTTCCAGAAGGGGCTCCTTGACGTCAGACGTGGGTTCAAATCCTGCTTCCATCACCCAA